GGGGTACCCCTTTAAATAAGGGGGCACCCAGATGCCGCCCCCCACCCCCACGTGAATGAGTAAGGGGTACTTGTACCCCTACCCATTCACTAAAGGGATAAATCAAATAGTTAGTAAAAAGTCCAGACTTTTGACAAAATCCTTTAATTGAAAAATCCATCGATGTAATCCAGAGTCAGGATCAGGATGCAGCACCCCTGCCGACCCGCCGAAATAAAAAAAAAGTCCCGCTGCAGACGACCACCCGACGAAAACCAGAAGAAAAAAAAATGACATTCAGTCTGTGTCAACAGATGGGCAGAGCGAGCTATGACGTCACGGCTCGCTCCGCCCATTTGACATTCTCAGCTGTCAAATGCTACATATTGCATTCATATATATCAAAAAACGAAAAACGAAACTAAACTAAACAATTTTTTTTTTTTTTCAAAACGAAACTAAACTAAACAAATTTTTTGCTGGTGCACATGTCTAGTGCTCAGACATGAGTGGCAAATTGCCAGAGCTAAACAGTACCACATGAGGAATGGGAGAAACCCATCACTGTGTAAACTTTGATAGCGTTGGGCTCCTAGACCTAACAGAGAAAAGGCATGCAGGGAATCTGAATTATAGAGGCAACTACTGTTGGTTCCCTGCCTGTCATATTAATTCAATTACTTTAGTACTTTTTGAGGCAAAACCTTAGAACAAATATGCAGATCAGAAGCTCTGACTTGTTGGTTCAAGTTACCAGTATTTTAGAAAGTATTGACATCAAAAGTCAGGTTGCCCTGTGCATCACTCAGAATCAGTTTCCTTAATAAGCACCTTGTCACTGGCAATGGTACATTTAAGGACCAATAGTTGCTGAACTATGTTCATAAACATTCAGAATCACACAACTGAAGTCGCCTTATTGTCTCTCACAGAAAAAAAAAGGAAATATTACAAATACCAAATCATGTGAACTAAATAGGAAGACGTCTCCAGCAATCCCAGAGCAAAGAAGCAACAATGGCTATGGATACCACCATGAGAATAGGCACATCCCCGCTATTTCCCATAAAACATACACCCACCCATCGTCCCTTAATATCCAAAATTATCCCAATGGCCACAGTGGCAAGGATGGTGGCTGGTATCAAGGATGGTGTCTGATGGCATGGAGGAGCAAATTCCCTGCCATTGGCTTTTTAGAGGGTTGCAATCTATTTCCTGACTTCCTGACTTCTGGATTTTAAAATCCAAGAACTGAATTTCAGTAGGGCTAAATTTATGTCAGGAAAATATTGCTGTTGTTTCTATTTAGGATTGAAATGAAAGATAACTCTTCTGAAGTGCCCCTTCACTCCACCATCACATTATTCATATAGTGAATCCACATTGGCACATGATCCCTATATTTCTGTAGAGTAAATGCTTGGCTCTTCTCTCACCACTCGAGGTGGAGACACGCATAGACAAGAGCACATGTGGCACCCATGGCGACACCATATAGTCATGCCTGTAAGTAATTCAACTGCTAAAAAGCGTGAGTTGGATGATGTGACATGTTAAACACATTTTAGAGAAGAACCATTCATTGCTTAAATAACCTTGCTTGGTGGCTGAATGCTTCTGAAGAAGAGTATTTTTTACTTATCTTTGAGAAAGGATGAATGATACTGATATAATAGTACAGATTGCATCTGGTGAAGAAAATCAGAGCATAAGAGGGTATGTAATTGCCTATGGACATTGAGCCTGTGCTAACCCTCTTGAAGTTATAGTGTCAGCTACTAAAAAGGCTGACTGTATTTCCTATGGGATCATGTGTATCCTACATCCACTGTATGAAGAATATTATACCTCATTATTCTGAGAACTGTTATGAGACATTTCATGAGCCACCGCTATTGGGTTAATCTTGGGTAACCTGAGTAATGGGCAGGTGTACGTATGGACAACCTTGTGATGTTTTATAGGACATAGGGTAAATGTACTTTCTTATTTATAAGATTCTGTCTTCATTCATTTTTGTAGTGAATAAAATTGTACTGAATTAAGGAAAAAAATTAAAAAAAAAAAACTTTTCTAGCAGCTTCTGGGCTATTGATTAAAGAGAAGTATTTTAACTCAATTGAAGACTCACACTTTTTATCTCTTTGTAGTTATGTGTCCCCAAATTTTATGATTTGTGGCTATTTTTGCTGGTGATGCCTTAAAACAAATGTTTCCCTTGTTGAAAGTGCTGCTTCCTGCTCATTGCCCCACTGCTCTGTGCTGGAAAATCTAAGCAAAAGCTACACCCATCAACATCATTGTCCTCATACAGACTTGCATTGCAGAGGAAGAGGTTTGCTTTTGAGCAGGTCTGTTATTGAGTCTACCTTTGCTGCCTATTGGACTGCACACTTATATTTAGACACCCTGTACAACTGCTATAATGAAAATGCAGATTGCTAGTAAAATGTTTGTCTGGCAGCACTGTATACTGCATCTATTGCTATGACTTTAATTAGACTGTAAGTATAAATTGGTATTACTATCCTCTGTTAGTGAGAATAGCAGTTGCTCACCATTTCCTACAATCATGTTGAAGTGCTAGGACCTGCCAAGGTCATGATAAGACAGAGGGTTCATGGCTTCCCAACTATTTGGAAACCAATATATATATATAGGAAATGCAGCCTTTTTTATTGCATTCTTGTTATGTATGGAAAAGTCTGGTAAGCCCTTTCGTGCAGGAAATGGGTGATATGATGCAGGAGTCTAACATATTGAAGTGAGTGCACCACAAGGGGCATGTGAGCTGAAACCTCTTTCACTCCTTTGACTACTAGATGATGGCCACAAGGCAGCACTCTGTCCATAGTGAACACACCTATATATAAGATAACTACATGGCAAAAAGTAACTAAAAAAATAACGGCATCGCCGTCGAGTTTAAGGTCCTTTTTAAAAGTTTAGGCAATCACCAAGGAAAAGAATTGGTACACATGCTTACAGAGTAAATACTTTCACAATCCTGTCTTACAATAGGAAAGAGGAAGACATTGGTTTTAGTCATGATAGAAGAGAGTACATCACTGCAGCCTAGGCTAGAATTATAGGGGGTACAGAAGGTTCCAATAGCTCCTGAGCTCTTGAGGTATACATGGTATATCTTAATTCCAATCTCCTTGCCCTGAGTGTAGATAACAGGTACAGTTTTAATTCCAGGTTTCCCTTTCCTCTCCTGTTGTCGTCAGCATATATACTTTAATACCAGTTCAATGGCGTAAATCATTCTGGTTGGACTTTAGCACGTGAGGTGAAATTACAGTCTATTTACACATCAGCATTGTCACGGGATATCATTCAAGTGTCTATGATTGCATTCCTCTAAACGTATGTACAGAGCAGTTAGTGAACAGTAGCTTCACAAAACCGCAAATATTTGGTATTTATTAACTAAATTAAAATGTATGGTGTCAAATCTAAATCCTTTTTACAGCATCAGGTAATATGAAAAGATTGAAGTCACATTACTTGAATAAATAGACTAGTCATAGGATCAAGTTACTGAGTAGCCAACATTTCTCCAGTCTGGTTGCCTGCAAAAGCTTTAACTGTGTTTTGTCCAAAAAGTTTAAAGAGACAGTCTATTACCTAACTAATATCACAATTTTGGAGAAATGCCAGAGGGATGAATAATTGACTAGTTCTTTATGCCTCTCATTACCTCTATCAGTGAGACCACCACCACCACCAGCAGTCCCTACATTTGACCCCTATGAAGTCTTATCTCTTGATACATTCTTTCAGGTGCACTCTCAGAGATAACAAAGCCTGCAGGTGATTCAACTCTGTAAGATGTAACAAATATTGAAATTAGTTTTGGGTGGATGAACCCTTTAAAGTGTAAGGAGTTTTTTTATAAAACGTTTGCAATGCTGTTCGCATCACACTGCAGCCAGCCAAAGAGCATAGGATGTCACTATGCTCCTGCGGTCACTGGTTGCCAGGAGCTGGACGGGACACATTTCTCTTAACTTTATTGCTATCAGAC